GCTGAGCAAGGAACCTTCAAATCCTTCGCCGCCCAGGAACCCGTAATGGTACTTCACCATGCTCCGGAGAGCATACAGTGGCGTGCATGGTATAAAGTATACATTCAAAGTGTGTTTTATGTGATTCATTGTGATTAAAAGATTTAATTTATCACGATGCACATTAGAGCATATCTGGTCAGCTGTTTTAAACGAAATTGGATGTCCATAAAGTAGATCAGAATACGTTTTTCTCCAAAGTATCATTTAAAATTTTAGAAAACAATGTTCCTATCTACTGCGATTTGAAGATAAATTAACACATAATGCAAGCGCTCATCGGTTAATATAAACATTAACATGTTGTAGAAGAGCAAACCTTCAAAACCTTCGCCACCCAGGAAGCCATAATGGTACTCCGCCATGCTCTGGAGAGCATGCAGCAGCGTACATGGTATGAATTATACTTTTAAAGTGCGTTTGGTGTGGTTTATTGTGATAAAAATATTTAATTTATCAAAAGGCAGATTAATGCATATCTGGTCGGCTGTTTTAAAAGTACTTGGATGCCCATAAATTAGAGCAGAATACGCTTTACTCCAAAGTATCATTCAAAATTTTAGAAAACAAGGGTCCTATCCACTGTGATTAGAAGATAAATTAACACAAAATGCAAGCGCTAATATGTTAATTTAAACATCGTCATGTTGTAGAAGAGCAATTGATGTCTGACGGCTTGCATATTTGCATTTATACACGTGCCGTATCGTGACAGAAACGACAATATGAAATGCTGATAGGTCAAATTTCGGGCTTATGGTAGGTCTTCACCGTCGGCACACAAGATGGAAAGGCTTCTTTGCAATTACTCCAGAGTGAACGAGGTGAACAATATATCACAAGAAGCAAATCAACAAGGCAGCAGAAGAGAACATTTTTCGACAAGTTTTGAAATAGGGAGGACATAATAAGAGGAAATCAATAGAGAACGGGAGGTGAATGTTAGAATCTACAAATCTACAGATAAGGGATCGAGGTGTAACATAGGAATAAAAGTGAAGAATGCGATAGGCAAGTTAACAAATTTTATTGTAAGAATTTTCGACCTTGAGGGACATTTAGTGATTTGCTGTCAGAGTAACACAAAGCACCGGAAATATGATATCCCATTGCGAATAAATGTCAGGAACGCAGAGTATTAGTGTTATTTCTGAGTATTTAGCAATATACCATTCTCCAATGCTAATGTTTGTACTTGCCACCGTGAAAAGGGTTTTATTATGGCCCAGTTTATTCGACAAAACATCAGACTGGTTTTAGTGAAACTGCTTTTCTGGCGTCAATGTGTATCGTACCAAACGATGGTCTATGGCCGTCAATAAGGGAAATTTGAATATCTGTCTCCTAAAAGGAAGTAGTTAGTAGTAGAATGTGGAACTAGCCACGCTGAAGGACGCTGTAATCGGGTCCCCGTATGCTTTGAATGGCGAATACTCTACTAGCGCTATTCGCGAGATGCTTTTACTTACTTAATGCATATTCTAATATGGTATGTCTTAAATATGCATTTATTTCGGATGTGCACCTTTTCAAATGAAACACAGTGAAGTGTTATTGACAATTCTGTTTTTTTTCTTTTAGGTAGATTCAGGACAAGAACCTGCTGCTGGTTGCAAAAACTCCCGACATGTCCCTTAAAACTCACTGTAATTTATGTAACGTAGATTTAGTTGACATTATAAATATACTCATGCGGGATATGCAACGACGTGTTACTTCTTCCAGACGCCTATATACTACTAATGGCGTCCAGTTGTTCATATTTTCTTACTGCGTTCTAGTTGACTTCATCTGTAAACGCGGCTGCCTACGAACGTCAGCGTCAGATATGGATAGTTTATGACGAAAGTGATAATGCGACGATCATTAGATGATGCACTTGGAGTAAGGTGTGGTCCTAGTAAATATTTCGCAAGCAGTTCTCAGTTTCCAACAAAACTTTAAAATCGTTTGGCAAGTAAAGGCCTCAGAGGATGAGAGGGGGCTTATGTAGTTGTGAACTGCATCCTAAAGAACCGTCAACGGGAGATGTGCAGGCGATACGGCCTTAGGTCATCAAGTATACGTATATTTGCAGAGTTGCAAGTAGTGACGGCCCTAAAGGACCATATTAATGCGAAATAACCATATCATTGTTACAGTAAATACAAAAAGGATTACAAACTTGGGTTTAATCCTTAGGTGATCCACCACTTGGCGTAGGGAATGATCGGCTCATGACTGATAATGCGGCCCACCTGACCGTTCCAGTCTTTCTTGTTTATGTCAGAAATAGGCATATGCCTAAAATACCACGTAATCTACTGCTGTTGGTGATGCTTCAAGCCGGCACATGGCAGGAGTGAGATCCCTAAGCGTTTGGTGCCTTTTCCTCAATGTATGCCAAGAAACGGAGAGGCGCCATGTGCAGCACAACTAGCTGTTCACCATTTTTTCCATGTATAGTATCCACGTCCAAAATTGTCTTCCTTTTACTGAAATTGAGTCAGAGTATCGAGTGAAGGGAAAAGAGGTTTGGCGTGCATAGCCCTTTTCGGTGGAAAATTGAAGCTCCTATTTTTGTGCTCGAATCGCACTCGATTTTAGCCCCTTTCTATAAGGGTGGGATCAAACGACAAATAACAGCCGTAGGCAAAGATTCGGTCAAATACTACTAAACATCGCACTTGATTAATTCCTACTTCAAGACGTACGAAGAAAGACTCCAGTGCGTGAAGGTGAGAAAGCTAGGTCTCTGGATCTACTGTTTGCAAAGAATGAGGAAAGTCTTGATAAAAAAAATACAGTATGGCGAGTCCTGCAGACAGCTTTCAAGACGAAATTCAACTTGGTAGTTTAGCGTATATCCAGACAGGTTATTTTGATCAAATGAGTGGATTTCATAATAAGAAGGGCTTTAGTTTGGAAAACTGCACTTTTAGGTAGTTTTTGGGGGAAATAGTCACTAATTTTGGCTTAATCATGAGTAGGTTTATATGAAAGAAATGCCCTATGCTATAAGGAAATACAGAACCAAACATTCTCCTGGTATACATTGTGCTATGGACGAATTCCCTAATTTGTAAACAAAGGTCGAATAATAAACCATTCCAGAACTGGAAAATTTTGTGCGAAGTTTATCAAATGGAAGTTAATCGAAGGTCAAGGAATCGCATTTATTTTCAGAAACGAACAGCGATAGACGTTTTAAAAATTTTATTTAGCTTTTCTGTGAATTTTTTTTTGCAGAAAAACGCAGTAACAAAAAAGTGTTTGGTAAAACATTTTCTTTTACCGCACAGGTGGTCTTGCGCGTAAGCAAAGCGCCCATATGTTACCGCGAAGGCAATCTATAGAAGGCGTTATTGAATGTAATTCATGTAGAAATATAGTCCTTCTGCAAACAATACGTTCCGCTCAAGCGCTATTTAGAAACAGAACAGACAGAAAAGTCATAAGTTTTTCAAAAAATGATCATATATATGTCCTGTTTTTTGTGCATTCGCAAGTTTATAGCGGATCGTGGAATTAATCACCGTTATAAAGAGAACAGGATGTTCTTTCATATCCAGTCAAATTTAATCGTTTATCTTCAGCTATATTAAAGAAATTGTGAAAGTCTCCAATTTCCCTGTGAAAATACCTGGGAAAATGCTAATATACACAGAAGTTCGTCAGCAACATATCCAATAAAAGCACATTTAAAGCGGTTATCTATTATGGAGGTTTTTTTTAA